GAATGTGAAATGCAGCTGAGTGTAGTTTGCCCTGAAGTGCAAGCAGTGAGTGTGAGAAATCACTGAATTATAATTTTCAGCAAGCTAACTGCTAGCTAGCTTTGCATTTCTCTTTGCAAGTGCTAACTGACTGCTGGTTGAGAAATTAATCTGTGCAAAAGTGGTGGTGTCTTGGAGTGTTTTTTTTTTGATTGCCTGTTTTAAAGATGGTAACTGTGTTTGTATTGGCTGTGTTTGTATTGGCTGTCTGTTTGTACTGGCTTATGTCATTTTGCTGAGTTTAAGTAGGTTGTGTAAGTCAGAGGCCAACAAGTGTAGCAAACTGAGGACAGCTGACCCGAATAGCACTTTACCATTGAAGAATAGTTAGCTTGAAGCTGCTTCAAGTCATGTGAACTTCCAAATCCTTTTCTCTCCAGTTAGTATCTCCTCCCACCTCGGCCACCTCATCCTCATCATGGAAGAGCTACACATCCATTTTCTATCAGGATGATCTGAAGGCTGTCTGCTTCTTCCTGGAACATGTGGAACATGTTCCAATCCTACTCCTGGAGAGGAAGTGGGGTGCAGGGGCGGTGTGGGGCAGAGATGTAAGGCTCCGGAGGTGGGGGGGGATGGGAGGAGGATTGGGGGAACAGATGTGCAGGGTGGGGTATGAGGGTTTGATATAATCTGATTTGATTTATTCTCACATGTACCCAAGTACAGTGAAAAGCTTTGCTTGCGAGCAGTACAGGCAGATCATAATAAGCAAGGACATATAGATCATAGGGTGCTTGAACAGAGTGAGGTATACAGATTACACCACGCAGGAGGTGCATGAAGCAAATCAACATTAACAAGATCTTTATTTGAAGTTAGAGAGTTCATTCATCAGTCTAATAATGGCAGGGGAGAAACTGTTCTTGAACCCATTGGTGCGTGCGTTCAAGCTTCTGTATTTACTGCCCGACGGAAGAGGTTGTAGGACAAGATTACTGGGGTGGGAATGGTTTTTGATGATGTTGGCAGCCTTTCTGCAGCAACGAGAATTGTAAATGGAGTCCATGGATGGGTGGTTGGCTTCTGTGATGGTCTGGGCCATGCACACCACATTCTGTAGTTTCTTACTGCCCTGGGCAGAGCAGTTGCCATACCAAGCTGTTACGTTCCCGGATAGAATGCTCTCTATGGTGTATCGGTAAAAGTTGGTGAGGGTCCTTATGGACATGCCAAATTTGCTGAGCCGCCTGAGGAAGAAAGGTGGAGGGAGAGGTAGTGTTGAACTCTGTTTCCATTTCTGGAGAATCGCTGTGCATGAATATCCATTCCAAAACCATTGCCTCCAGGTTACCTTGACCAACATGAACATTTTTAGTTAACCAGAGAGAGCCAGCATGTAAGCATGCCAGGTGCCTGACAAACTGTATTGAACTCTTTGAACTGGTGACTAAGGTAGTGGTCAAACAGGAAGTGCTTTGGAAGATTCTGTCAAAAGCCATTTGCTCAGTGAAATTCATCACCATCCTCAATATCCTCCAGGATAAGATGTTAGTGATGGTCCTCACTGTCAGTAATATACAGAATCCTTTGAGGCCGAATAGTAACAAATATTGTTGTTCCACTTCTCAAAAGCTACTATCGATTATGTATTTTTGGCAGCAATACTTATGCTGCACATCAGTGAAACAAGGAACTACAGTTATGTCCAGTTATGGTCTCCCTGCCAGAGGAAGAACGTATTTAAACTTGAAAAGGTTCAGAAAAGATTTACAAGGATGTTACCAGGATTGGAGGGTTTGAGCTTATAGGGAGGGGCTGAATAGGCTGGGGCTTTTATCCCTGGAGCATCGGAGACTGTGGGGTGACCTTATATAAGTTTATAATACCATGAGGGACATAGATAGGGTGAACAGCCAAGGTCTTTTCCCCGGGGTGGGGAATCCAAAACTAGGGGGCATAGGTTTAAGGTGAGAGGGGAAATATTTAGAAGGGATATGAAGGGTAACTTGTTCACGCAGATGGTAGTGCATGTATGGAATGAGCTGCTGGAGAAAGTGGTGGAGGTGAGTACAACTACAACGTTTAAAAGGTACCTGGATGGATACATGAATAGAAAGGGTTTAAGAGGGATATGGGCCAAATGCTGGCAAATGGGACCAGATCAGTTTAGGATATCTGGTTGGTGCAGACAAGTTGGACCGAAGGGTCTGTTTCTATGCTGTATGACTCTGAGTCTGTGATACCCATCATCTGCAGCCAAGGCCTGTGTCTGGCCATAAGGGCGTAAACTCAACTAACAGTGAAGAAGCTGTTGCAAGTTGCTTCTGGAAACATGTAGGCTTTTATTTTTGTGTGTGAACTCAGGTTTGCTAAATGGCCCTCCTCACCTGTCTGTCTATAGATCACAGTCACACTCCCTTCCCGTCCCCCCAAACAAAATGTGAGAGTGGTGTGTGTGTACATGGGGAAGTGAATATTAATGAGACTTATACTTTTAAAATTACAGTACCTAATTAATACCATGTTTTATGCAGTTGAATAAGCTTTCATTGACATCAAGAAACAACTTCAAATATGAGCATGTATTTTTGGTGGATAACATGTATTGGCTTCATAAATGATAAGTCTATTACTGTGTAATAAGTCTGTGTAATCCTAGCTATATGTGGACTTTATTTATTTGTTTCATTTATTTATGGAGAATAGTGTTTTGCAAAGAATTAAATAATGATGTGGGTCTATGTGTAACTTAAACATGCCGTAATGGTTTATAAACCATGTATTATGGCCAATAAAGAGGCAGGACCTCTGTTTTTCATTGAGTTGCAAGCAGTGATTGCATTATTAATTGAATTTTCAAAGCTCCAAATTTGCAAGGTCGTAAAATTGTGGTAATCCTTGGTAGCTCTTGCATTGGGTAATGACTGATCCTTGGCCTTGAGCATTGCAATAATTGATGTTATTCAGCACCACTGTTAGAAATATTTTGGGGAGCAACCCAGAGAAATTGTTGTATCCGGCTGTAGAAAGGAAGAAACCACGGCAAGAGGACATATCCAAGGTGTTCATGGCATTACCTTCAAGGCAGCCAGAAGTACAGCTAATTGTGCCATTCCTATTCCTCTCATTTCACCACTTCATCCTGATTCTGCATCTATGAGGAGTCAATGCCTGCTGACTAATGAAATACGAGAACAATTTACACTGAGAAACAATATATAAATAAAGAAGGTGAATTATGTCATCTAAGCTGTCAAACCATCTCCATTTCAACATACACATTGATTGGTTTGTCCTGAATGCTATATTGAGAAGTGAGCTGTAATGATATTGTCAGAGCCTGGGATGAGTTATTTCTATAGTGCAAATTCAGCAGGTATTTGCAAAGAAGGTCATGTGATGCAGTAAAATTGTGTGGTCTCTTTGTGATAATGAAGCTGTGTAAATTATATAGAAGTTTTTTTTGGAATTTGGATTTCAAAATAGAGGCAAATGGGTGTTGGTTACTTGTATGAAAGGTTTTCTTCAGAAAAAGGTCAGAAAAACAGTGACTAAATTTAGCATTTGTCAGAAAAAGTGACTGCAGACCCCTTTGGTGTTAATGGAAAGATGTTTATTCTGTGGGGCTTATAACAGGTAGTCTGAACATTAAAGGTCATTAGCTTTCTTTTCAATTCAGAGGATTCTAGGATTGAGCAAGCTTTTAATTTAATTCAGGGTTGAATTCAGAAACAAATTTAGTTTCACTCCTCGAAGGAGTTCAGGGTAGTTAAGGGAACCAGTCACCTGAGAAGAAGAATTTAGTTTGTAAAGCTTCCAAACTAAGAGGATGTGGTTCGAAATCTGCAGGTTATTAAAGGTGAGAAGGGTTAGTCTCTCAGGCTTGTGAAAAGTTCACTCAGCAGACTTGGAATGGACTTAATGAATTGTCTCCACAATCCATGGAAACAAAATTCTAGGGAGTCAGCTAAATGAAAACGTAGAGTCGAGATGGGGTGTAATTTTTCTGGACTTGAGCCTCCATAATGCATAGTGTCAGGAAACATGTTGAAACATATTTTTGTTCCTGATGTTGAAACTTTGTTTTGTCCTTGAGATCTTTATAAATATCATTCATATTTAGATAGCTTTATTTTTAAATTCTTCTTTTGTATAATAAACCTCTACACTTTTGTTAAGGAAATCTGCAGCTTTATATGGAAATTTCTGTAACTAACCACCATGTGAAATAACTAAACAAAGACAAAATGTGGTCTATCAAGACAGGTTTCATTCTGGGATCTGACTTGTCCAGTAGTACCATTATCTGGGATCATAACAGATTCAATTTATTAAACATATACTTACTCAATATTATCATTTTGGAACCTGTCAGTGGGGATAAATGTAGAAATGGGGACTAAGTGGTAACTTACTGTGATAGACAAATCACTTCTGTAACTGGCAGCTGTTGCTATTGGTATTGGTATTATAAGATTTCCACCTCTCCCCTTGCCCACACCCTCAGTGTAGCCAAAGCTAAGTTCTGGATTTTGGAAAAGGGAGAGGTCAGCCTGATACAACTGCTGGCTACTTTAGCTACTCCTTCAACTCCCCATTCCACTCAAAACTCAGTACTCTGATGCTTCTAGCCTTTCTTAGGCCTATCCCTTCGAGAAATAGTAGCCTCAATTTGTCAGTTATTTTACAAATGGGAGAATATCGGCAATACAATTGGAAAGTTATAAATGCTTTGCAACACTTTGCTACATTAACGGTGCTATACCAAGGCAAGCTATTGTTGATAACCTTAGTCAGTGTTTCCAACAGTTAGAAAAAGGCCCATAATCAACTATTTCAAATTGACATCATGTGATTTAGATGGATATCAAATTCACTCTATTTTCAATGAAAAAATATAGTGTCTTTAAATGATTAATCTGTTTAGGCAATTAAATACCTACATAATTACAACAAACATCATGTTTGTTTTGGAGTGGCTATATTTTCTAATGTGCTTTCAATTGTTCTGACCACAGGTATGTGACTGGTGCAAGCACATTCGGCACACAAAAGAGTACCTAGACTTTGGAGATGGAGAACGACGGCTACAATTCTGCAGTGCAAAATGCCTCAATCAGTACAAAATGGACATATTTTACAAAGAGACACAAGCCAATCTTCCTGCAGGCTTGTGTAATGCTGGGCATCCTCCAGTGGAAAATAAGTCTGATAACCCAGGCGTGCAACTACTGACTCCAGAGTCTTGGAACATGCCACTGTCAGATGCTCGGAGAAAGGCCCCATCTCCTGTGGCACCTTCCTCTCAGACTCAAGTCCCCATCCCTTCTGCATCTGCTACTCTGTCTCCATCTGATCCTGCCACTAGTTCTGCTGCCAAAATTCACACCCCCATCTCGAAGGCAGTGGCTGCAAATGAAAGCCCCAATATTGCACCAATGCAGCTTCAACAACCAGCCAATATCGTGCCTCCAGTGGGTGTCCCTCCAGGTAATCCCTCTATGGTCATGACTAACCGAGGTCCTGTGCCTCTGCCAATATTCATGGAGCAGCAGATGATGCATCAGATTCGCCCATCATTTATCCGAGGACCCCACACTCCAAGCCCTAACAGTCCTCTGCCAAACCACATGATTTCAGGGCTTGGTCCTCCGACAGGTGGCTCCAGAACTATAGGTCCTAATTCCAGCCCCATGCATAGACCGATGCTCTCGCCACATCTTCATCATCCATCTACACCCACAGTACCAGGGAATCATCAAGGGTTACTCCCCTCAGGAGCACCCCTTCCTAATGTTTCCTTTCCACCTATCAATATGATGCCAAATGGCCACATGCATATCCCACACCTTTTAAACTTTGGGGTGCCATCACTTGCTCCTTTGGTCCCCCCTCCAACGCTTCTGGTCCCCTATCCTGTAATCGTTCCACTGCCTGTGCCAATTCCGATCCCCATTCCAATTCCACACACGTTTGACTCCAAATCTACCAATGGTGTTTCCAGCAATGCTGAGAGTCTCATTCCAAGCACTTCTAACGATGAAGATGACACGAAAGAGCCAAGTAGTTCATTGACATCAAATAATGTGCAGCAGAGGCCTTCCAAGTCTAGTAAAGCCTCAGCTAACTGCTCAAGCCATTCTTTGAACCAGCCAGCCATACTTCTTGACACCAGCAGGAGTGAGGTTGTCGATCTAACAGTCAAGCCTAATGGTCCAATTAAAAGTGATTTTTCTTACGCTGACATGGTAGACTTTCCACAAGATGGAGTCATAGACTTGACTATGAACCATAGAAGCAGGCTTAATCACATCGGTCATAGGCCTTTGCATCCTTCTGTGAAACTTGAGAATGAAGGCAGAAGTGTTGTAGATTTGACTGTTTCTAGTCCGGATAAGCGGAACTGTCTCGACCTTAGGGATTTTCCTGATTTGAACCCTATTGAGTCAAAGGTGTTATCTTGTAGTGATTCCTCCCACTGCAGCACTGTCCAGTTAAATTCAGGAAGCTCAGGAGGTGACTCTGATTTAACACCTTGTAATCTGGTTATGAATGGCACAAAAAACGTGGATGGTTCCCACTGCTCAGAAGAAAGACCAGACCAGCAGCAGCTTCCACCACCACCACCACCACCACCACCGCCACCGCAGCAGCAACAGGAGGAGATCGCTGTCAACGAGCTGGAGTCAGTCAAAGAAAACAACTGCACACCAAACTGTCAACTGGAGTTAGAGGCAGGTAAGAAGGCCTCAATTGAATCACCCCTGGGTGGGGTGGACAAGCAGGATGTAAATCACAATCCTGCAGATGAGGACCATGCATATGCCTTGAGAGTAGTACCCAAGACGGGCTGCTTGATACAGCCTGTGCCAAAAGCGACTGAAAAGACTGCCATAGCACCCTGCATAACCTCAACGCCAGTACTCAACACAGGGCCCGAGGACAGTGAACCGCCACTGAAACGCAGATGTCTCCGGATTCGAAACCAGAACAAGTAAAGGTTTGTTTTGAAATGCGTTTACAAAAACCTGAAGGCAACACATTTGCAATACAAAAGAAGATACAGTCATGTCTGACCTTTACGACAATGAGTATTTCAAAAATGGTTAATTGTAATGTTGACAAAAACAAAAAATTAGGCCAATTAGCACAACGTGTTTCCTCCAATAAGGCTTTATCCATCCAAATTGGCAGTGGTTTTTGGAGTTTTACAGATAGCTTGCTGGTGCTAAAATCAAGGGATCCAAAACATGCCTTCCACAGGGGCACTACTCTTTGATACTGCACTGTCTTGGGTATGCTAAGTTTGGCGTACTTCATTTTAAAGCTCAGAATTCAAAGAAACGTCCTCTTTTATTCACCTGATAAAAATGAGATAATCATTCAGTTTTAAGTGCATTAATGATATTTAGATGTCTTCCATGATGCAATTCTGACAGGACACAAATTGTGCACACAGTGAACTTGTCATACAGACACTTTTGCTAGGCAAGTTTAAGACTGTTGTGGTCATGGGTGGCTGGTGGTGGGGGAGAAGGAGAAAAATGAGTCCTTGTTCTAATGAAGAAGACAATGACTTCCCTTATATCAGTATCAGAAAACTGAGAATAGCAATAATACTGCTCTAAGAAAAAAGTTACTGAATTCTTATTTATCACTGGATTCAGGTAGGTAACTATCACTTTCTGAAAGAGCTCTGATTGAATATGTTAGCAATCATAAATATCCAGATTTCTGAAGAGTTTTCCTCTTCCAAACAACTGCACGATTTGGGTCCTCCCAGAGCTAAATCTGGACTGTCAACGAGAAAAACAAATAAGAATTTTTTGATGGTCAGCAGGTCTCCATCAGGAAAAGGATGTCATAAAATAAAAGTTGAAAATGGTTTGGTGTAATTACATTTCCTTTCCTGTCCATAATGATTGAAATATGTGTTGAATTCCTTAAACGCTCATCATGAAAAATAAAAAAACGCTTTTACTAAAGTAGCACTTTGACTACAATAGGCTCCTTTTGAGATTATGCAGATTTTGTGGTCAGTGATGAGCTAACAATAGCCTCAGGTGATTTCAAAGAAAGTCCGGAAAGATCTAGTGATCACTGTGGCATGGATATTCTTGTCTTAATTTTCTTCCAGCGCTACCTGTAGGGAAATCGGCAATAATAATGTCATTGAGCAGGCAATGTAGCCAATCATATTGAAGAATTCTCAAAGACAGCAAATCACTGAACACAGATTGTCATTTACTTTTTAATCATTTCACAATGAGTGAAATAATGATTGGGACATGTACATGCGGTGGAGATGGTGGTGTAGTGATAATGTCACTGTACTCATAATCTAAAGGCCTAGACTAATACCCTGGGAAAATGGATTCCAATCCACCATGGAAATTGGTGAAACTTAATTTTAATAATTTTAAAAGAATTGGAATAATATTGGCCATGAAACTACCATCTGGTTCAATAATGTTCTTTAGGGAAGGAAACCTGCCACCCTCACACATGTGACTGCAGACCCCCAGCAATGTGCTTGACTTTTAGCTGCCCTCTGAAATGACTTAGGAAGCCATTCAGTTAATGAGAATGGGCACCAAATGCTGGTCTTGCTACTGATGCTTACATTCCATGAAAGAATGAATTTTAAAAATGGAGATTGAATTAGAAGTTGAAGACATATTATAAAGAGGAAGATGACACTTTACACAAATAAAGTTTAATGGGTGAGAGAGGTTGTTGTCAATAATTATGACTCAGTACACTGTCAAAAACCTAGCTACATTTCTTGCGGTAAAGCACAATTTTAGTTGAGGATTTTTGTAATGAGGCTAGCAATGTAAAAGGTGCAAGTCTCTGTCAAGTGGAACTTGTTTCTAAAACAAACATAAAGAACTGCAGATACTGTAAATCTGAAACAAAAACAGAGACTGCTTGAGAAACACAGCAGGTCTGTTGATGGCAGCATCTGTTGAGAGAAAAATAGAGTTACTGTTTTGAGTCCAGTGACCTTTCATCAAAGGTTAATGTTTCAAGTCCAGTGACCCTTTGTTGGAGAGTCACTGGACTCAAGATGTTAACTTTGCTTTTCTCTCAACAGATGCTGTCAGACCTGTTGTGCTTCTCCAGCAGTCTCCGTTTAAGTTAGTTCCAAGATTTTCATCGATGTACTGTTAAACAGTGCACCCCACGGACAGACTGAGAATCACTGACTTTCACTTTAAACGGTATGCGTATAGATGCCAGATTTTCTGCCAGTTTTACTCTTGTAATAACAGAGAACACTGATAGCTTTGCTATGATTGAATGCACAAAATCTAGGACAATTAATTGAATGGCTAAAGGGATAATGGACTGAACAAACTGGCTGTTTAATTGAGGGGACTGAATTGCGAGGAAAAGTGACTTAAGTCAGGTGCTCTCCATGTAAAGGAGATGTGCCATGTACAAGATAGAAGGGTAGTATAAATTACAACTTTAAAGTAACTACCAATATAAATTACACATTTTTGCATTTAATTCCAATGAGGGCTATTAGAATTCTCCTGAATGAATAACATTCCCAGAATTTTACACAAAGGAATTTCTAAGAGCAACACAGCTACAAATCTGAAAATGAATCATAGTCCTGATGCACTGGAGAACTAGCTTATTGCCTTGAGGGAAACAGGAACTTAGCTGCTAGGTGAGGACACAGAAAGTGGAATGGAGAGTTTTCAAACAACTGAAAACACAAATATATCTTCTGTACAATTTACAGAATTTTGTAGGTTGTGAATGGACCTAGATGGGAAAACATTATTGGGATGAGAATGGAGGCTATGAAAAGTTACAGTAATAATGTTAGCCTTGTGACGATAAAAGCTGCATAAATGGGATCAGGAAGCTGTTTTAGCCCTGTATCCAAAAACATTGTACAAATCAGGAAACGTGGAATAAATGTATCACCAATTAATTGAGCTGTTCTTTTATGGCACAAATTAGATGGGCTCTGATCATAAGACATAGAAGCAGAATAGGTAAGTAGGCCATTCAATCCATTAAGTCTGTTCTACCATTCAATGAGATCATGGCTGATTTGATAATCCTCAACTTCACTTTCCTGCTGTATCCCCTTTTGTTTTGACCCTCTTAACAATTAAAATTGTCTATCTCATATGTGCATACACTTAATGAAGCAGCGTTTGCAGCCCTCTACTGGAAAGAATTCCACAGAATCACTATCCTGCAGGGGAGGAAATTCTTCCTCATCATTGTCCTAAGAAGGTAACTCCTTACTCTGAGATTATGTCCTCTGGTCCTAATGGTGTAGCAATCTCTCAGCATCTACTCTGTGCAACCCCCTAGGAATCTAATCTCTCATGTTTCTAAACTCCAATGTCACTCTGTCCTGGGGTAGTTTGCTGGAAATCATGCCCTACTATTCCCGTGGGCAGAGGAGAAGACAGGAAAAGCAGTTCAGTGGTCCCTGGTTTGCTGAGATGATCCTTTTGGCTTGTCAGGATATGCTGCTCCTTGATTTTCCTTCTCCAGGTACTTAAACTTACTTGCAAGAAAAACAGGGTGAGTGGTTCACACTTATAAAGTCTCTGAAGTATTGATTAAGAGCACACAGTTTACAGCAACTAATGAGGGGAAATAAACTGGCTTTCTTCAGGCTTGAGGTTTTAAAACTGCAGAAAGGAGGACAGCTTCTCCCTTTCCAGAGGTCCAATGGCTTCTAACTGATTACTCTCACCCACAAGCTGTTCAGCTACCTGGGAGACAATCATATAGTTGTTGGCAGGTAGGAGGCCTTTGCCATTAACAACTGATTACCAGTCCCCACACCAGTCAGCTATGTGTTGCTGGCTGAATCTCCGTTGTATAAACCCCAAGGCTCCTGCTAATCTGCACTAAACCTTCCCTCATTGCTTTAACAAACATTTGTGTAATCAGCACTCATAATGAGTGTCAGATAACTTTTAAAAAGTGCGGCAATCCTTTCCACAATTCTTGGTTTATAAATCAGTCCTTTTCCCATTTTCCATTTTATAGTAAAATAATGAAAGCCTTTGCACCATTGAGTACAAACCCAATCTACTCAATCTTTCCTCATCAGAAAATTTCACCATATCTGAGATTTCTATCCTGCCTCCAAATGCTAGTATCCGTTTCCTTAGATAAGGGGACCAATACCGTTTGCAATGTTCTAGGCATGGTCTGGCTCGTGCTTGTATAGCTTTAGCAAGACTTACCTACTTTTATACTCTCTTCCCTTTGAAATTAACCCTCCTGTTTGCTTTCCCTATTACCTGCTGAACTTCTACACCAGTGTTTTGTGATTTGTGCACATGGACTCCCAAATGCTCTGTGCTGCAGCTTTCTGCAGTCTTTCTCCATTTAAATAATTATATTCCAAAGACCATGCCTTTTGCCAACTAATTTAATCTATGTCCCTTTGCAAACTCTTTTATCTTTCCACTTGTATTTGTGTCATCTACAAACTTGGCTATGACACATTCTCCTCTCTTGTCCAAATCATTAATATGTTTTGTAAACAATAGTTGCATCAGTACTGACCCATGAGGCACAGTACTCCTCTAGATGCAGACTGCCATCCTGAAAATGCCTCTTCTACCTCAACTAACTGTCTTCTATTAGTTAGCAAATTCTCTATCCATGCTAAAGTATTGCCATGCACATAATGGATGACCGACATATTAAATAAAAACCAAAAGAGCTGTGGATGTTGTAAATTA